TCTGTGTGTGTGTTGTTGTTTTTTATTTTTTTTTAACTTTTTTATTTTATTATTGGGTGTATATGTGGTTTATGTAATAAAAATAAAAAAATTTAAAGTAAAAAAAAAGAAGTTTTGACTGGATTTTAAAAACTCAACTAGATAAATTGCCCTGAAGCTCGTCAGGAGAATCTAGCCACATATACTATAATTACAGGATGAAATTTAATTTCTTACCTTATGTATTTTTAAGGCTTTTATTTTCCCAGTATGTCTGACGTGAGGTCCTCTACAAAGATCAATCAAAGGGCCACACCTAAAAGGTAATGATATGATTCAGTTTCTTGAAATTGTGTCATAAACACTGACTTCTTATTTTTATTAAAAGGGAAATGAATGTGCAGCAATCAGCCTCTAATAATATCAAGACTGACATTCTTATAAAATAGTAAAGGTTCCCCTCCCACATATGTGCTAGTCGTTCCTGACTCTAGGGGGCGATGATCATCTCCGTTTCAAAGCCAAAGAGCCAGTGTTGTCCAAAGACGTCTCTGTGTTCATGTGGCCAGCATGACTAAAAACCGAAGGTGCATGGAACACAGTTACCTTCCCACCACAGGTGGTGCCTATTTTTCTACTTGCATTTTTTATGTGCTTTCTAACAGCTAGGTTGGCAGAAACTGGGACAAGCAATGGGAGCTCTCTCCCTTATGCGGTACTAGGGATTTGAACTGTCAAACTGCCGATCTTTCTAATCAACAAGCTCAGTGTCTTAGCCACTGAGCTACCTTGTCACTTAAAATAAAACAGCAGATTGCTGCAAATCATGATTTTCTTTGAAACTGTGCCTTCCTGCCCAGAAAACAGAAAAAGGTAAATGGTCAGAGAATATCTTGAGGGATTGCAGCCATGTTTCTCAACCATAACAGCTTTAAGAAGTTGAAGTGGACTTCAAACTCCAGAATTCCCATGTTTGGCTGGGGAATTCTGGGAGTTGAAGTCCCCACATCTTAAAGTTACCATGATTGCAAAACACTGGATTAAGATATGTAGTGGAGATAAATTGTTCCAATTGGCTATATTCTATATAGTATTGTTATGATTGGGTAGACACTCCATGGTAGGTATTTGGTGAAAGGGCCTATAATATACTTTCCAAATTACAAGTGGAATAATTTTGTTTAAAACTGGGAACACTATAGTTAGTAATAGAAAATCCAAACTAGGTAGGTATTTTGCCTTCTGTTTTACCTGTATACAGTAGTAGTTGGAGTGGTGACTTTTTCATTTAAGATCCGACACTTGAATTTATTGTACTGTTTGAAAATAAAATGTAAAAAATATACGGAATGAATGTTAATTTCTAGTGCCTGCAATTTGATATTGAAGCAAACATTTTTTTAAACATTTTTTTATTTTTAATTTTCAAAACAAACACAACACATAAAATCTTCCTTCNATTTCGTTTTTCTTGCCTAAATGTAGAACCTTACTCTTTTCACCATTGAATTTAATTTTATTAGACAAAGTTCTGCATCTTTGACTTGAGGATGGCAAGGATATTGAATATAAACTTGAATATAAACTATTATTTTATGTAGCAAAGAAGAATGAGAAACCGTTTTTTTTAAAAAGCATATGCATTCTTTGAGCAGAAATTCCTCTTACCCGTCCAATTTTCCTGTGATCCCGGTTCTTTGCCTCTTCTTGGAACTTTTCCCACTCTTTCAGCATCTTAGCATCCGGGAAAGAGATGCCATAAACCCTTTGTAAGGTTTCCATATCAGACTTTCCTTCCCAATAGGTAGAAGAATTCTGGAGTTATAGAAAAGATTCGGTAACAAATAATGTTATCATACAACAATTTTAAGTAATTACAGATTTTATAGGGAAGTACTGGTACATATTCAGTCTATAATTAAACATATGCATTTCCTAAGCTTCAGAAATAATTTAGGATATCTTATGATGTGCAAACCTCTTACATAACGTTTGGATGAAAGGAAACAGGAAGACAGGTAAACTATTGTACAACAATAAAAAACAGCTAACAATAAAATATTTCTCAAATTCGTCTGTGGGATGAGTTTGAGAAATATTTTAAAATAAAGTACTTTTTCTTTTTTTACAGTTGCAATAAGCAAAAACAACAACAAAGGGGCTCAATTTATTCCCCTAGAAGATCGGCTGATTTCAATGAAAGCAAAGTATTCCCAGTGTTTAAAAAGTTAAATTGCTCTTTTTCATTTCAGTAAAAGAGACAGAACTTCTAAAAATATTTTTTGCACTGCAGTTATTTCAAACTAAACACCAATGATTCTACTAAGTCTAAACCTAATCAATGCATCTTTCTATAGAAGTTTTGAGAGGAGGATGGAAAGGAGGAGGAGAGAGGGTAGGAAGGGAAAGAGGAAGAGCGGGAGTAGGAGAAAGGTAGAAAGAAAGAAAGAAA